CGCGAGCTAAGTAATTCTTCAAATGTTACGCCTTTCGTCTAACAAAGACCTTCAATCGATAAATCAGGCTTCGCTATTTTTCTTTTATCTTTTAGTTTAATTTTTTGTGTTTAGTTAGTTTTATGATCGTTTTGTAAATTATTTCGCTTCCACATTACTTTCTCTGCAAACAGCTTTACATTAAAAATAATCACTATCGTTATATAAAGCATTAAATAATCTCTAAAGTTATAAAATGTGAAAATTACACACCTTGGAAATGTAAATTAACAATTTCATCGACTACACAATAGGTAATGTTCTTCATGAAAAGCGCCCTTAAAGACTGAAGAAATTTTTCTATTTTACATTTAAAAATTGTAATTTATTTAAATAATCTTGATTAATGTGTTTTTTATTAATACATTAAAACTTCCTAAGACCTGACCATTTTTATTCGTTTCAAGAACCCAAATACTCTCTACAAGTAGTTAACTAAGGATTGGGTCGGGCATATAATACTGTCGTTTAAATACTTAAAAATCAATGATGCATTCAAATTTATTCAAATAACAATTGTGTGTTGTTTATTAACTTTAATTAGTAGCATGGGAAGTAGAAAATGTATCGAAACAATTGTTACGATCTATGAATATATTAGAAAAAACTATTATGGGTAAATGAGTATGAATTGAAGAATTTGAAAAATTCTATATAAATACAATAATTCTAGTAAAATGGTAGATTATGATCATTTTACCTATAATAATCATAGCAGTATCATTAGCTTTCGCGTGCGAGATTAATATCTTAGTTAATTACATTTCAAATGACCCACCCACCTGTACAGATCCTTCTCCTCCTCCTCCTCTTTTACTCTCAATTTTCTGTTCGTCTTTGTTGAGAATTTAGACGCAGTAGAGGGACGATGTAATTCTAACGCGCCAAGATAGAGGCAATCAATCGATAAGGTACCGGTTGATCAAATTGCGGTACGTGGAATAGACTTGGATACACTGGTTAGAAAGAATGGGAGATTGATTCAAGTGGAAAACGAAATTCACCAAAATAAATATAAGTATCGAAAGAATTTATAAGCCTAATTAATAATGGAAAATAACATTGCGAATGAAAAAATAAGAACTAATTTACTATTTTCTAGACACTATACTTTATAAAATTATCTTGATTATCATATGGTATGTTGTATTTTCCAAACAATCGACTAAACGTATTTAATTATATTCGAAAAAGCGTTTTATTTTAAACACAAATATATATATACATATATATATATATATATATATATATATATATATTCTATTGAATCTTTATTAAGATGTGTTGTATCATTTACTTGCCATTATTGAAATATACTTACATTTAAGACATTTAGTTTCGGAAATTAAATTTGTTAAACTTTTAAACAAATCACTGTCCCCATCATTTTTGATTAATTAAATAAGCTTGTGCAAATTGTGTTTTATTCCTTAATGATACCGTATCAAGTACCACACTACCAATACAAATGTATTAATAAGTCAATATAATCAATGTAAAAAATACATGTGTGACCTTTGCCTTTAGAATTTGTAGGAGGGGGGCGGGTGGGAGACAAGCCATAATATAAAATATAGACAGTTAGTAAGATAGTTTATAAGAAAATAAGAACGAGCGACAAGGAGAAAGGAAGGAGAAAGAAGTGTAGCACGTTGCTAACTTAACTTGAGTGTTGTATCCACGCGGAATGACGATAAGATTCCTTCGCTCTCTCTCTCTCTCTCTCTCTCTCTCTCTCTCTCTCTCTCTCTCTGTATCTTATCTGACTTGTACTTGAGACTAGATTTTAGGTAACAGTAAAAGCAGCAGTAGTAACAGTGGTAGCAGCAGTAGCAGAGTTCTCCGAACTTTGCTGATCTTAACCCGGTAAACAGACAGGCAGATAGGACTTTTCGAAAATGTCTGTGAAACCTTACCACCCCTTTCCCAACCTAACTCTCCTTTCTGTTTTTTCTTTTGTATGCATGTTTGTGTGTGCGCGCGTGCGTGAAGGTGTGCGCGTGCTTCAATGTGTAATTCTATAAAATAGCTTGTACACATGAAGACATAAGTGTTCGCGTGGGTGGGAATGTTTGTATACAAGCACGTGTATTTACCTAAAATATTCTTATCGACATATATTAACATTCTTCTGCTGCTATCTCCGTCTATGGTCTTCGCATTCTCCATTCACCATTTACTTTTCCTTTTTGTGAAGATTCAAGCACGTTCTATACCCTTCTCTTAAATTTATCTACCCCTTGTGTGAATGTATACACAACCCTTTTCCTCTACCTTCAAAACAAACGAGTGAGCGAGTGAGCGACTAAGAGAGCGAGAGAGAGAGAGAGCGAGAGAGAGAGAGAGAGAGAGAGAAAACGAGTGGATGAGAGGCAAAGGGCGAGAAGGAGAGAAAGGCGGAAAAGAGAATGCTGAGTCAACCGGTAGAAAGTCAAAGAACAAACTTGAATCGCTAGACAAGACGCTCGCGCGTGCGCGTTTTGCCACGTAAGACACTAACTTTATTACTCCCCGATGTGCAGAATCGTAGAGGAAACACAAGTAGAATATTGATGGATACAAGTTTTATTTTCACTTTGGAAAGAAATATTTTGTACGTAAACATTCAATAAAATATTAATAATGCCTATTTTGTAGTAATAGCAACAGCAATAAGGAATAGTAAAAGTAATGATCAATAATAATGAGAGTAATAATAAATTGTATAGATAAAATAAATTTCAATCGATAATTGAATATGAAAAACCGAGCCATTACATCCTAAAAGTTAATGATCTCTTTAAATGATAATTTGCATAATTTGGGGATTAGTCTTTTGAATGAAGTTGAGTTAAATTGTGAATTAGTTCGTGCGTGCGTACGTATATGTGCGTGGGCGTTTACAAGAGAGGGAGAGGGTGAGGATTGGCGATGGCGGGTTGGTGAGAGGTGGGAGAGGGTGAGGAGGTGGTAGCGGTGGCGGTGGCGGTGCCGGTGGCGGTGGCGGAGGTGGAGATGGAGGTGGAGGCGAAGGAGGGTTAGCGATGTGTGTTCCCTTGTGTGGCTCAACCCGTCATGTCGCAGCCGAATGCCTCGGGAAGAAACTTCATTAAATGCTCTGGTGACTCTGGCTATTCGGGACTCCAGTTTTCCTTTCTTCATACGAGAGGATTTTCGTTAATATAAAAAATGTTTTGAAATATCTCATTGAATTTTATTTTCGCAAAAAAATGTGTTTTTAATGCTTGATTTACGAGAAATATGCGCGTAGGAACGAGTAGGCAAATAATGAGGCTTCGCATTTTCGAAAATAAACTAATATTAGTATGCGCTTAGGGTGGCTGTAATTTTTTTGTTTTCTTAATGTATTTCGTAGTAAAAACGAATTTCTACATTCATTCCGACATTTTTCTACATGAATTTTAATATATATATATATATATATATATATATATATATATATATATATATATATATATATGTATATATATTCATGCATAATAATTGGAATTATATTTTTGCGCTAAAAATATTTTTATTTTGCTGTTCAATGGTATTATTAGTCGAGCCACCCTATGAATATTTATACGAAATATTATCAGATGATATTCAGTAATTTATAAAATGACATTTGTATTACAGATTTGTTTAAGTTTGATAAGGAACAATGATAAATATTGAATTTTTTTGGCTCTTATTAAAACCCCGTGGCACGTCTGCTTCATAAATAGAAGATGGATTGCCATCTGCATCACATGTAAATATTGTAAAACATTTTCACGGATACCCTACTGGATGTAAAATAATTAAATTGATTATTTATTAAGCGAACGAGAGTTAATTTAATTCACGGTTAGCTTTGTAATGGCAATGTTCAACATTTTTAGGAATTATTTCGTTACATTAAACTTTATTTCTCCAATTTAAGCATAAAAATGCACGTGATAATAGGAAAAAAAACTTACTTTACATACAAATTATTAATATTATGAATAAATTAATGATATTAACAAAATTTCATCTCATATCAACGTGATTTTCTATTCGTTTTTTGTCATTGTTTCTCTCTCTCTCTCTCTCTCTCTCTCTCTCTTAAATTGTTAATTTATGCACGATTGCTGCTAATTATGTATACGACATTACGTTTTAAACAGCTAAAAATAGTATGGCAATGTCGAGAACAGATTAAGTAATAAATAGTATAATTATTTTAATGGGTGGAAACATAAGTAAACGTAGTCATAATATAGAAACTTCTTTCACACAAAATACTCGCCATTTAGCGAATTGGCAAAATCTTCGTATCATACTTATGTATTTCGAAGCATCGATTTGATTTTCACTGTACTTGAATTTCTTAATATTTTCATTCGATTGTAAGAAGAAGGGAAAATCGTTTTAAAAGAGAAGCTAATAATGCTCGTTCTAATGGCAATTGTTTCCCAGCGTATAATATATGTGTGTATGCTAAATGACGTAATTGACACGACGAGCGATAAAACTGAATATTTCTATTGTAACATCCATCGTTGGTCTAAGCCGAATTATATAAATCATTTCACGTATCACGTTCCACAAAGACATTTAACAATATTAATTCGCTCGAACATAATAATTCTACCCCTTTCTTTCTTCGATTCTACCGCCCACCTGACAATTAATTTCTCATTCTCGGCGTATCTATAGCGGGGAGCCCCCCACCCCACCCACCAATAATCCCCAATTATCACTAAAATCCCACTTTACTCAATGGGAAATTCCGTTCAGCTCGTGATCGCTGATAATCATTGCACCATCACAACAGACAACTCCCGCTGCAGTTGACCAAAAAAAAAAAAAAATGTCTTCCACCTCGCAATGAGGCGCAATGGCCGAAAAATCCATTAGTTATCAGCAGTGGGCCATGCTGCCTCGCACCACCAACCATCGAGTAAATAAATGAAGCAACGGATGATAGAATTGATAAATAATATTTGACTCACCGGACTCCGAGACAGAGGGACTGCCTGCAGACCTATCGGAGTTCCTGGAGCTGCCGGTGGAGCTGGTCGAGGAGGCGGTACCGACCGAGCACTCCGAGACGCTGCGCCTCTTGGAGAGGAGGGCCGCCGCGGCCGCCGCCGTGCCACACGAGGACGTCACGGGGGCGCTCGAGCTCAGCCCGTGGAGGCCCGGCTGACCCGTCAGCTGCTCGAGTCTGCGCCTCAGGAACCTCTGCTCCCGGAACAGCTGCTCCTTATGCACCGCGTGCTTCCTGTCCCGCTCCTCGAGACTCTGTAACAGAGGTCCGGTCCGTCGATTAACCTTTAAATTCCCATCGTAGACGCCCTTACTGCCCCCCCCCCCCGGCCCTAATTTGGCATCTGCTTCCTGCATCTCTTGTCCGGTCCCGAGCGAGTCACGCGATTACGCTATGTAGTACGTATAGCCATTGCCCTATGCTGCTGCTGCTACTGCTCCTATTGCTCTTTGTTCGGACTCGATCTATTAAAAATAAAAATATAAAAGACGAGATGCTTTTGTAGCTTTTCAAAACGCTTTTCAATCGCAATTGTGCGCGAGGTCCTGGTTTTTCGCCTGCCAATACACAATGTGGACGCATGTGCGCGACATTGCGAATCGACTTGTGCTACGTGCGCCGAGTCCTTAAAGGTGAAAAAGCTGTTGGACGTATTTTTAAATTCGTTCTCACCTACATGCTACGTGAATGTGTATTCGCCGCTTTTTCCGCCTATACTATACTTTACGCGTGGTGGATTATTATAGATTTATATGCGAATCCCAGTATTTACTCACTGTGAATAATTTAAAAATTTGATCTCTCCTTAATGTTACTACTTCGATGAAGTTCTAATCCGTCAATCTACTAATATCAATCAATTACTAAATATCAAGTCGGATAATTCTTAAAAGTCGCGACATCTCTTTATAAAACTGAAGATATATTTCAACGGAACTTGCGCTTCGATTCATTAAGCTTACATTAGACTCTATGATCAAATGAGCCAAGTAACTTCTGTTACGCGTACCCGCGCATAAAAAAGAATATTAAAAGTAACAAAGAGACTTCACTACTTGCACATTTTGACTATTTGACTAAAGATATTCAAGACGATGAAATATTGAGAAAATACATTACACAATTAGTTGAATTACTGTGTATATATATATATATATATATATATATATATATATAAACTAATTGATGAATAATCAACGAAGAAAACTCAACAATTTAAATAAATTCCAACTGAACAGAAAATTTTCTGAATCTCGATCTTTCGGGTAATCATCAAATTAAAATAATTACGGATTATTGGCTTGAGTCGTCGACGGCATTACCTCGTTGCCCAATACTTTCATTCGCTCGAAGACGTGATACATGATCTTCTCTTTTGAAAAAAGTAAAATTCCGAACCAAGAATTGAAGATGAAAAAAGAGATAGTAAAATGTAATATATATATATAGACATGTACAAATTGTACTCTAAGCAGATTCAAATTAAGTCGCATCCCCTGCAGTCAAAAATAGTGGTAAGAATCTATTGGCCTCGTCTCTCAGAGTCACAGGAACAGCATCTTTCTTTTCTATCCCTCTCTTTTACTCGCCCTCTAATTTTCACTCACTCGTTCGATCTCTCCCTTCCCCTCACTCAAACTCGCATACTCACTTACTCTCTCTCTCTTTCTCTCTCTCTCTCTCTCTCTCTCTCTCTCACTGACATTCACTCTATTACTGTGCCAATGTGTCTTTATCTTCCTATGTATATCGCTATCTCTCCGCCTCACCCTCTCTCTCTCAGACTGATCGGTAGTTGTCGTAATTGCGACGATGCCATGCCAGGGGGTCCCACATAATTGGTTTCCTTTGTATTGTGGGACCCCCCTCTCTCTCTCAGACTGATCGGTAGTTGTCGTAATTGCGACGATGCCATGCCAGGGGGTCCCACATAATTGGTTTCCTTTGTATTGTGGGACACGCCATTTCGTAACGCCAGGCCGATCGCCTATCCAGAAAAGAGGCTGGCCAGTTCCGGCATCGTCCATGAAATATCCCCAGGCGAAGAGACAGACAGACAGAGAGAGAGAGAGAGAGAGAGAGAGAGAAAGAGAGAGAGAGAGAGACGAAATGATAAATACAGAAAGCGATAGAGCGTTCTGAGGGGCAGAAGGGGGCCGATGGTGGTTAGACAATGAGAGTCCGTCCGACTCGTCGATTGTCGTCTCGTTTTAACGAGTCATCTTTAATTCCCACCCCAGGTCAACCGTACAACGATATCACTACAGGGATATAGCAAGGCATCTTGGGTAGAGTTATTTCAGGGTTTCGATATATTTAATTCGGAGACAATCCAAAGCAATATTACGACAAAGTTTTTGAATACGGAGTACTGAATTTTAACTGCCTGTAAATCAACGATAAAATGATGCAAAACAAATTTGTAAGCAATTGCTCAAAATTTAAAGTTAAATGTAAAGTAAACATTTCATTGCCGATTGGAACGACGGTGGATAATACGTCAAAAATCCCAGTCATTCAAATTGTAAATTTGATGGTAATTTTACATAAATAAACTACAATCCAATGATCGATCGTAATTGCATACACTTTTACGTTCAAAAAGTAGAATTAGATAAAAAAATTAATTATTGTTTTTTAATAGACGATTGCCACGAGAAATTATAATGCATAATTTAGGATTTAAGCTAAACTACATTGTCTCTTGAATAATTGCAAATAAACGGGAATAGATGGTGAGGAGTATTAATAAAATGATTAAAGGAAATTTCCAAATGTTCTAAATACATAATAAAACAAGCCGTCAAACACTAAAGCGCGAACAAAAAATATAATCAGATCCATGAGCAAAGTGAAACCGAAACATAAAAAGTCTAAAAAGTCTCATTTGCGAAAGACAAAAACGAAAGTGGAAAAAAGAAAGAAATTTGACAAAAACAAATACATTTAACTGAAACTCGATTCTAGATTCAATTATTCCAAAGCTCGCTAGACAATGGACCCGAACCCGGTTTCGCGTTCGATTCCCCCATTCGAAGAAAAACGATATTCTTTCGCTTTTCCAGTAAAGTATAGAGGGATTTCATTCCAATTGATTAAACTTTTTATACACATGTATAATACACGCGTGATCGTAGGATTTCATCGGTACGACATATGCGCGCTTTGACACGAAGTCTGTCTTTCTCTCGCATCTTTAAGTAATGCTATGGAGCAAACAAAAAATTTGATAAATTTCAAAGGACAAGTATATATGAAAATTGTTAACCCCGCATTGTTCGTGTAATTTACGTAGGCGATGCCTCGTTTTTTTTTCTTTTTTTTTTTTTTTTTTATGAGACAATATCGGCAATTAAATTAATTAATGGGAGATAGATCGTCGCTCGACATATGCTCAATATTTAATTAATAATTATTAGTTACGATAGATAATGTGATAAAACAAAAAAAAAAAAGAAAAACTTAATTGTCACATCATACATTAATAATTGATTGAATCTTTGCTTATGATGTATTTGAATTTTGTTAGAATAACAATTAATATAAACTCCCTTTTTTTAACGTAAATCTTTATGCCGTATCTACCGTGGAATCAATAAACAAAAACAACAACAAAAAGCAATAGCAACGGCAGCAGCCGCAAGATGTAACAACAGTAATAATAAATAATAAATAATTAATAAACGAATGATATTGTATCGATTGCGATCAATAACATTTACGAATATATGCGCGAAGAAATGATCAGGGGTCGTAAGAATTTTAATAAATTTTTACAATCTTATTGTTCGGTCTTTTAATACGAGCTCATGATTATAATAACATCAGGTAAAAAATATGTAAAACCAACGATTATCTGCACTCGGCCCAATACAATATAATAGAACATTAATTATAATGTGCGCGAATGCTTTAAAACGATCGTCGAACGAAATATAAATAATCAGTATCGTCTTTAAACAATAAATTATCAAGAGCATTATTTTTTACGTAAAAGTGAACAACTGTGCCTTTCATATTTGTTTTGCTTTCGACAGAAACAACTTTTTTGTCTCTCCGGTCGCCGCTGTCGTCTTAAAAACAAACGACGCGTGCACACGTGATCGCAGCTCACGTTAACACACGTGCATTTTCGCTCGTACACGCACACTTATACGGCCCAGATCCAACGATCTTGAACAATGCGAACGAGCCACAATGCACTTTGGTAGTTTTTCGCGCTCGTACGAGTGTGCCCGTCGCCTTTCACTCGCGCTTTTCTATTCGCAGGCTTCGATCGAAGAGCTGGAAAAAGGAACATAGACATGGGAGGAGGCGCGTGTACGTGAGCGCATACTTGTCAGTGACGGACGCTCGGGTCGTTTGAACTTTACGAAGCAAACGGAATTACGTCCGCTCGGAAAATTACGCCTCCTGTGTTATGTACATGCGAGGACGAGTGCACGGATAAAGTGAGAGAGCGAGGGGGCGAGAGGTAGGCAGAAGAGAGAAATGTAACGACAAAAAAAAAGTAAAAGGACGTAGCATTGTAAGGACGAATGACATAGACTTGAAGTCTCGTAGAATCATATTCGTTTCGTTGTTGTTGTTGTTGTTGTTGTTGTTGTTGTTGTTGTTGTTGTTGTTGTTTTAATACATTTTAATTTACGAATGAAAATTTCATATGCGAATAAAAACTGTATCGGCAGTAATCGACGATATCCCCTCCCCTTCCACGTTTACGAATAAAATAAGCTACTAAGCAAATCTAGTGGAGCGTCGAATATATATATATATATATATATATATATATTTCATAAAAGCAATATTTGTTTGATCGACTATTTTTTTGTAAGCGGTGTTTTAACAATAATTTCATTGAACATATTGAAATTATTAACGTGCGCGTTGATCATTGAAAAATAAAAAATTTATATAAAAAGTAGGTGTGCTTTGTTGTGTCTGATTTCGTAGTTGCGTATCCCCATGAAAGTGCAAATATTAAGAAATGAAACAAAATATAAAGTTTTTCGTATAAAAAAAAGAAAAAGAATTGTTATAAAATTCAGAAGGCAAATATATTATAAACTGCTAGCAGCCCCATTAATTGCCAATTTGTTATTCCAATTTATTTCGCCCAAGAGTTAAGAAAGTGTAAAATATACTTCTGCTTACAATGGGAAAATGGAAACATTTTTAATAGCATAGAGTCGCATAGTGCATAGTTTACGCTAAATTTCAATAATTCTTCGAGGAAAGATAAAATTTTCCATTACGTAAAATCAAATGAAAAGTTAGTACGGTTGAAAAAGTAGTTTATAGGTAGTTCTCCGACATCTTGACCATCATTAGTTCATAGACAAAACTTGCTGCTTGCGGCAGAAAAGTTTTTAAAGTCTGACTTGGAGAAATATTTTTTGAAGTTTCGCAAATTTTATCCAGGCTGCAGCTTTTTCACATGCTTACGAAACTTTTGATCGTGGCAAAAGCAAGAAAAATACACCAGCGAAAAGTCCACAATTGTAAAAATAGAGCAAACCCCCCCCCCCAAATTCAAAGTAATATTAAGCCAATCGTAAAAAATGACGTGGACGATCGCGAAACGAAAAATAATATGTGTAAGCAAACAGGAGGACAAAAAGAAATAAAGCGTATATAAAGTGTACTGAGAGAGGGAACAATAAGTAGGAGAAGAAATTTTCGCGCTCGGGAATTTTTCGCGGAATGAGCAGCGCGACGAGGAGGACGAGGCGAACGGCAGAGCAGCTCGTGGACCTGGAATTTCAAAAGGTCCTCGGAGGTACGCGACCGCGACAGAGGTGAACAGCAGGGAGGAACGCGAAAAGTGGATACCGAAAAAAATTTCCATGAAAATGTCTGCCCAACGCCGTCGACATTTTCGCCGTTTTTGTGTACATTTTACTTCAGCCAAGTTAATAACACGAAGTGCGCAAGTCTATTCAAAGGGCAAAAAGAAGAAAAAAATTTCTTCGCTGACAAAGAAAAAGGTTATTAAAATGTTGTCGACCCGCGGTACGAGTACACTGCATTGAAATTCAGTAATTAGAAATGTAGCTAGACATACATTATTTGTCTTGTCTCCCATTAAAATTTCCGTAAAATTGCGTTAAACATTACCGATACGCCGTACAAAAATCTCTGATCCACTACCGCGACTTTAATAACATAACTATCAGAATTTTTAATTTTAACTTCAAAAGCTGCCTTATGCCCGCTGAAGAAGGTCATCGACTCTTCGTTTGTAGTTCAACGAATCGACACACGTAAGCATCGGATATACAATGGATTTGTAATAATAAACTTAGTATCAACAATACCAATGCTCGCAGCGAGCAGTAATTTTCCTCTTTAATAAAACTATTAA